CCCTCGCCGCCGGCCCCAGGCCCAGCTGGGCGACAGCTGGCTCAGCCCGGAGGTGGGCTACCTGCTGCTGCACACCCTGTGCCCAGCGCTCTACGCCTTGGTGGAGGACGGGCTGAAGCCGTTCCAGAAGGACGTTATCACCGGCCAGAGGAAGAACTCGCCCTGGAGCGTGGTGGAAGCCTCAGTGAAGGCAGGTGGGTGTTGGAGGGCAGCACGCCACCGGCCTCTGCAGGTCTTCTGTAGCCTGGGCCCTGCAGAACCCCACCCAGGCCCCATACCAGACCCCCGAGTGCTGATTGTCGCGTGTCACCTACTCTGCAGGCCCCAGCACCCGCTCTCTGCACTCCCTGTGCTGGCATGTGTCCAGGCTGGCCCCGCTCAGCAGCACCAGGCAGCGCTTTCATGCCTTTATCCTCGGCCTTTTGAAGTAAGCATTGGTCCTCGTTGACCCAGGCTGTCCTCGCTGGGGTGGCGGGAGAGAACCGAGTCCTGAGAGCTCTGACTTGGATTCCTTTTACCTTGTTTAGCATTAAGCAACTGGAGCTGTGGATCTCTCAGCTGCAGAAGAGCCCAGGTAAGGACACCATCCCCAGAAGCCCCCCCCTACGCTGCTAGTCCTCTCCTGCTTGTGCAGAGCCAGGGTGACATTTTCCTTACCCGCTCCACACGCGCTGCTTGGCCGGGATTGCCGTAGTGGGCAGGAGCATCCTTTTGCGTGGCTGTACTACTGGACGAGGGCACAGAGCTGACTCAGGCGGGCAACTTGTGGCATCTCTGATACAACCCTCAGGAGAAGCTCTTGTCAGGCCTGCTGGGACAGACCAGCTGGTCCTGGGTGGGTTCAGTGGGCAAGGGGAGGTATCTGTCAGCTCTCCAGGGCTCTCTGTACCTTGTAGGTGTGATCTCCATGCTCTACTTTCCCACGGCCTTCTTTGCCCTGAGCCAGGGCCCTCTGCCCCACCTCGCTGATGAACTGCTGCTGCTCATCCAGCCCCTCTCAGTGCTGACTTTCCACCTCGACCTGCTCTTTGAACACCACCACCTCTCGGTGGATGTGAGGCCCTTGTCCCGTCGGCTGGAGTCGCCCCCCTGTCCTGCCCGTCGCCCCTCTCGGAGGATCGGTCCGCTCCCTGCTCAGGCCCGGGGGGTTGCGCAGCCTCGTCCGGAAGGCCAAAGCAGCGCGGAAGGAGCAAGCCTGGAGTGTGAGATCCCCCCTGGTCACCTGGGGAGGGCAGCCCCGAAAAGTGCAGAGGGAAGCACAACATCTCAGTCCCAAGCAGCTGTGCCTGGACCATTCCCCAGCCCCCAGGTGGGGGCTGCCCTACAGCAGACACTCCAGCATGTGCTGCGGTGGGGCGACCAGCTCAGTCGCACCTTCCTGGGAGCTGACAGCCCCCCTGAGAACTTCAGGCAGGGGACAGGCCCTCAGGACGCAGCGGGAGGCCTCAGCGGCTGGTGGGGCCAGCTGAGTCAGGCCTCCAGGATCTATGTTGCTCCTAGCAAGGAAGGGTTCCCCTTCATCCGATGGACAAAGCTGCGGACGGCTGCAGGAGATGCCAGCCCTGGCCAGACTGCACGACCCCAAGCCTCTGCCAGTGAGCCTAGAGGCACAGAGCTGCAGCTCCTTCAGGCCAAAGCTGTCACTGAACACCCCAGTCCAGATCCCATCAGCAGCGCTGGCAGCTCTAGGGCCTCTTCCCCTGAAGACCTCTTCCTGCCTCCTGGAGCCAGGGCATCCACCAAGCCGGCTGCTCCCGCTGCTGGAGAGAAGCTCCTCTCGGCCTCACCAGAGCCTTGCGCTAATGGAAACCAGGCGGCCCCTTCTAACCCGGCAGCCAGCAGTCCTCCTGGCCCTGAGAAGGGCGGCTGGCTGGGCCGACTCTTTGGAGCCACCTGCCCGCCTGCCAGAGGCTTCCCTCTCAGTCCTGACACCACCTCAGCTAGACCCAGGTAAGACCCGGCTTGGGGGAGCAGGCGCTGGGGGGGAATCCTGTGAAGGGAACCTGCCCTGCACCTGAAGGGTTTGTCTTCCAGGCAGCGTACAAAGAGCGCACGGGAGGCCTCGGGGGCCTCTCAGGGTGGGCTGCGCCGTCTGTAACCCAAGTTGTGCTCCTGGCCCCTGTAGCCACGCCATGGGCTTGGCACGTGGTCTGGGTGCTGCTGAGGTTGGCCATCGTGTCGCATCGGTGACTTAGAAGAACAGGAGCTCCTGGTGCATGCTCTGTGACATGTCCCCTGAACCACACGTGTCCCTTCCCAGCTCCCCAATGGCGGGAGGAAGTCATTCTGAGGAGAACGGTTGGTGACCGGTGCTTGGCCCCTGCACGTGGCACACGTGCACAAGTACCACGGCACCACTCCAAGTTACGAAGAGGAGCAAAGTATGCGGGGATAGAAACCATGGCCTTTTCCTTTGGTGGCCTCGTCTTGGCACGAAGCCCCCTCACCCGTGCACACACACAGGCCCAGGCACAGTCCCAGCAGCTTGGTGGTCATGGTCTTTTCCCCATGGTATTCTGTAGCTGGATGGGGAAAGGCTTCCCAGGCTAGCTCGTGGCTTCCTTTGCTTTACGGCAGGAGACCCTCTAGCTGGCTGTCGCCCAGCATGACCGCTCTCGCTGTGGTGATGAAGGGGGGAGCTTCGGAGAAGACCCACGCTCAAGAGCAGCCAGCGAGGGAACCGGCTGACCAGCCCCAGACCCCCAGGTGACGCAGGGCACCGCGGTGGTGGTGGTGGGGCGTGGAAAGCTGGTGGTAGGTTTCTGAGCGGGAGAAGCAGGGGGTTGTTGCCAGGTGTAGCCCGGACACCCTCCACCTTTTTTCGGTGAAGGGCTTTCCACCGCTCCTCGTGGCTAACCTGGACCTCGACTGCCCCGGCGGGGTCTGCCCCCGCTTCGGCTGAGCTGCTGGTGGCCCTGCGCCACAGGGCTGTCCCTGAGGGCTGTCGTCGTGCAGGGCGGTCCGGGCGTTGTGTGACCACACGGGCGCTGCCGTCGGCAAACTGAGCTTCCGGAAGGGGGACATACTGC